ACATGTATAGGTGTAAGGCCTACTAAACATTTACATGTATAGGTGTAAGGCCTACTAAACATTTACATGTATAGGTGTAAGGCCTACTAAACTGTTATATGTATAGGTGTAAGCCCTACTAAACAGTTATATGTATAGGTGTAAGGCCTGCTAAAAGTGACACATGGATGCATGTTAATTTCTTTAAATGCAGTTAAAATTTATCAAAAAATCTTTTTTCTACTGCAAAATGTTTAAATCATAACTTTCGTGTAATGCTATACAATGGGCTATCTGTGCTCTGGCCGCCACGGGTATTGAAACCTGTTTTTTAGCGTTGTAACTCCGCAGACATACCTCTGTGCCACTGGGGGGACTGCTGTATGTCACAATGATTTTGAAAAGCTAATTTTCAGAGCACTGCATATGTTGTTTTATGTTAATAAAAAATTAATTCATGTGCAGTAAGCATGTTTCAACATGTTTTGAGTTTTGAACAGGTTTGCTGGGTGACTTTCTAAAACCTTTTTTTTTAATACAAATTCAATGTTTTGTTTGGTTCTGAGGATTCTGTTAACAAGAGTAAAAACAGGGATGACTATTTAAAACTTCTGAAGGGGTGGTTTAAACTTGTTCTACTGTTAACGAGTACTTAAACAGGGATGACTATTTAAAACCTTTGATGATGAGGTTAGTACTCACAGTATCAACATTGTCAGAGATGGTTTTTAGTTTTAGAAGAACTTTTAGAAAGAGCCTATCTTAGTAGCCAAATATCTTGTTTAGATTGAGTGAAATGCCACAACTCTCAATTTTATCAAATTTCGACACGTTTTACTAGTAATAAACAAATCATAAACAAAATAAAACCTTTTACTTTTCTCTACATAAACGAAACCCATCGTTACTGTAAGACAAAATTTGATGTCAATACTATCTTATTCAACAAAACAAATCACAAAATGACCTACATGAAGGGCCTTGACATTCCAAGGCACACCACCAGTTCTGAACTTCAACCCTACATGTTTTTCTTCTTCTGATTTCTAATGCAGACAAATACCAATAAAACTAGGTATACATGTCTTAAAGTGAATGGCTAATAACATAAACTGTATCTAAAAATAACTTAAATTCAACAATTAAAATTAATTACTGAACCTATCAAACTATAAGTAGTTTGACAAGTACTTTAGACTACTGACGTTCTTCAGCACCCTGTAGTTACCAACTGCTGCTGACCTTATCCATTCAGAGTTAATTTTACAACTGAATATAATACCACATTATAGGAAAGTTTTAACCTTTTCCTGTGGACTGTTTAAGGGATTAGCCACCTGACTCAGGGAGGTAGGGAGAGAGAATTCTGACATCTGAGATAAGAGTGACATTCCTACAAATTTCTCTTGAAATTTTTCCACTAGAGGAGAATTTCTAAGGAAAAAAAAGAAGTTTACACAAAATAAATCTTTAAACTATATGAAAAATAACTTTTAAAACATGTTTTAAGAATTCATAACACTCATTCATAAGAAAATTATGAAAAAATGAAAAATTTCGATATCAACAAAAACAACATGAAGATCTTCAGAAACATTTTTTTTTTTCAATATAAATATTTAAGGTATTTTAAAAATAAAATTTTGATGACAAGACAAAATAGAAGCCTGGTACTTACATGCAGGTTGGAGCATTTGGTGAAAGGATGTAAACATTGCTTTCACAGAGTGGATATATTATAGTTGCTTTTGCCCAGTAAACTAAATGTCCAACTAACTGAAAGACCTGAAATTTTTTAAATTCAAAAACTTCATTTGAAAATGGAAATCACTAAGAATTGAGGGCACCACAAATTCCACTTTATTTATATTTTTGAAAATAAACATATTGCTTAGATGATAATTCATGAGCTTTAAAAAGCAAATAGTTTATCAGTAACACAGAGGTTCTAGCTAACCAGAATATCAAAGCTACAGGTGATTAAAAAAAATGACATAGTAAAATGAAAAAAGTGTTTTTGTACTGCCTTTAAGCCATCAGGGGGGCTAGTCGCTACAGATATGTACTGATCTTAATTATGAAATGTATTGTATGCTGTCATAAAATGCCAACAATTACAAACATCTACCAAACATGTGCTTAACCTCCTAACAGAGGCAGTACAAAAGTGTTTTCGTACTGCCTCTGTTGTATTTTCAGGCAAAATCAATTTCCCAACAAGTATCAGATAAATAATCCCACTAATAACAGTAGATTTGATCAAGAAATAAGGGAAGTGTTATATATTTAATAACTTGAGTGAGTTTCTTTAATCGTGCAATAACAAGCCTGGACAAATGCAAATAAATGGAAAATTTCTTTATTGTGACAAACAAGCAGAAAGCACAATGTGCAAATACAATCACAGTCAATTCTACTGAAGGATGTTTACCTCCACAGCTTTCTTTCCCTCAGGATTTATCTCTGTAGAATTAAAACATGATAATCTTAAACTATATCTTCACTCAACAATCTCTAAGTAATCTGACTAAACAAAGCAAATCTGAATTTAACATGTAAACTTGCTTTCTTTGTCCAGTTGACAGCATCACATCATGACCTTTGTCCCGTCTTTGGTCAGCTGAATTATTTAGAACATGGCAACTCAGCCAGCAAAGGATAATACAATGCTAATCCTTTCAACCTGGATGCTGTATGATACTACAATATCCTCACAGACATAACATACATTAGCTATCACAGAAAACAAGGAAACAAAGCAACTAGAACAATGCAGTCTTAACGACTTTCTGGACCACATGTTGTCACTACGATAGCATAGAAATTAAATAAAAAATTTTTAGATACTCCTGATCACTAAAGCATGTAGAAAACACACGATGTGTCTGCATATTACACCTGTATCTTATTGTTTACTTGTAAAAGAAAAACATTGAAACAGAACTTGGACAGGATTTTTAAGGCATTATCTTAGCAATTAGATATTAATGTTTTTATTTTTTGGGAAACATTTCATGATATTAGTAACTTAACTACTTGATAAAAAAAATATACATTTAAATTGTGAGACGTGAATAAATAAACAAAGTCAGAAACAACAAAAGTTCTAACATTCGAGTTGAAAAATAGTGTAAATAGACATCTTACATTTTTATAAACACATGCGCTTTTAAACTTGGAGGGTTATATCTTATTTGCTCTTTTTTCACATTTTGTTTAAATTAAATGGTAAAACTAAAAAATCTTGAAATAAAAAGAGAAAAGTTATAAATCTTCGATAAAGGATTCCGTAATAACCTCAAACTTAAAGGATTCCGTAATAACCTCAAACTTAAAGGATTCTGTAATAACCTCAAACTTAAAGGATTCCGTAATAACCTCAAACTTAAAGGATTCCGTAATAACCTCAAACTTAAAGGATTCCGTAATAACCTCAACCTTAAAGGAATCCGTAATAACTTCAAACTTAAAGGATTCCGTAATAACCTCAAACTTAAAGGATTCCGTAATAACCTCAAACTTCTATATTTTTACCAGTTCTAAGTTGGTCCATCACTAACCCTATGTGCACAGGTGGCAGTCAAAATACACATGTCATTCAACATGGTATTATGCATGTAGAATTAAAAACAGACTTTTTTCTACGTTAAAATACTTTTATTGTGAACTTTCAGCCCTCTTACTGGAGCCTTCATCTGGCAACAATACATTATTGCCCGATGAAGGATCCGGTAAGAGGCCAGAAAGCTCAAAATAAAAGTATTTTAACATAGAGAAAAGTCTATTTATAATTCTACATATTAATTTACCTATGTTATGAGACTTAAACAACAACTATGATATTATGTATTTGATATCAGAGTTACCAACTATTCATTTTACACTACATTGCTAATTTAGCAACAGTTTGTGGTAGAATAAATACTAGATGCAAGCATATTAAAAATTGTAGAGATGCATTTCAGAGGTTTTCTTGGTTATGCAAATCATCCAATAAACAAGAACTGTATGAAGGACAAAAAGCATTTTTATTCCTCACATGAACATCACCTTATCAGAGTCTGAGTCAGACTAATGTCATCAATTCACAGACATATCTTGAGTACATGAAGTTTTGTAAAACAGACTTGTATATTTTACTAAAAGCTTGCCATATTTTGTGTTGATACACATGGCAACTTTAGAATCATAGTTAGTATTCCTTCTCCAATACCGGGTCAGATTGGACTGACCCCGTGCACATTTGGTTAATGATGACAAAAGTCCGAATGAAACCAAGTTTATATAGCCTTAAATTATTCAGAACAGATGCAATAGCTCAAGAATTTTTTAATGATAATAAAACAGATCTTAAAAAATGTAAGGAATCTGTTTTCAAACAATTTTAAACAGTTGGTAGAAAACAAAAAAATATAATTGTTTGTATTCAGGAATTTCATTACCAATCTACCTGTGTTAGGGTTAAGTCCGTATCTGCTGATAACTGTTGCAAGCTCTTCAATGGACTTGTGATTTGCACTAGACGTACCAAGGCTGGAGATGCATCATGAGGAAGAGTCATGAGTAACTCCTGAACATCTACTAACATCAACATGCCATGATAGGGCCTGGAGAAGGCAAGAGACAGTAAAAAATGTTAATGAGGAACAGCACATTACCAGGTACATCTGATGAACAAGATAAATAAACGAAAGATGTACATGTCTAAAGATTGTCAATTTGGGAAACTTAAGAGATTAACAATCTTTACACATGTACATCCTTCAATTATTTATCACATTCGTCTGACTTAAAACTGCAATCATTACTTTTCAGTTAACGTACATCAAGTAAATTTAAATAAAGTATTCTACCTACAGATGTCACTGCATTATATAATTTATCTACTAAAAGCAAATTTTACTTAAGGAGACATTACAAGAGGAGGGAATTACATACATGTAAACATACACAAAATGTATTAACATGCACTTTCATGTAACATTTCTTAGGAATATTCGTGTCAGTCAATCTAATTCATACAAAATACCTCAGTCTTTATACATAGAGTTGGGTACATTATGTTAAAATGATTTTAAATATGCGAGTCAGCAAGTCAAGTGACAATCACAAAAATTATTAGTGGGCTTTTGGACATGACAGCCTTACAATAGTGCTTTTTACAGTGGAAACTTTGCTTCAGGGCTACTATTGTTAAGAATAGGTGGGAGTTTCGCAATACATGTTTAACAGTATACATTTCTAAATATAAATTTAATTTAAACAATCATCAATATTAAAATAAATATAGAATAATAAATCCATCACACTATCAAGATACCCAGTCATCAGTAAAAGCATGACCAGATGTGACAACATGGACTGCAACAACTTGATGATCCAAATTCCTTTTAATATAATGTACTCGACTCTCTTTGCCTTATCTTCTTAGATCTGACTACTAGTGAAATGATACAAACTTTTATAATATGTAAAACATAAATTAATTTAAATAATAGTGATACCTTATAAATTTTCTACGAAACTCTCAAAAGCAGTTTCAGGTATACTTAGAAGGAAGCTGCCAATATGTGTTTAAACAATTTTATGACTGAAAGTTGTTCTTTTATGCATAGAACCCGAAATGTCATCTTAGGAAGAAATAAAAACTCTAAGCAGGAAAAAGTCCATTAGAAACAACTATTTCCAGATGAATAAAAGCATTTCAAAAATCAAACACTCATAATAGCTTTACCTTAAAACTCTTAAGACATCTAAATCAATAAAAGTAAAGGCTTTATAAAATTTGACAAAAACGAAATTAAAATATTGAAGAAACCTAGTTGAATGGACAGCAATCGCCTGTTGTAGAAACACAAGTATAGAGGGCGACGAAAAGTGGAAGACTGAAACATCTTCCTCTATACTCGTGTTTCTACAACTGTGGAGTCCATTCAAATAAATTTCATCACGCAATAATCTTCCTAAACAATCTATCAAAGAAATTTAAATTTTATATCAAAGGCGTTTACGAGCTGATATATAATAACTGGAGTTTTGTGATTAGTGAATACAAGAACATTTTATCAAAATATAAATCTAAAAAATTTATTAAAGTTTTTCACTCTAACAGACCTCATTAAAGGGTAAAGACCTATCGTAAACTCTGACCTGTTACAAGCAAAACCTGCACAGCTTTTTTTTAAAAAGATTGTACTCCCATACCAGTTTTATATAACTATAGTTGTAGATTACAATCTAATTTGAATCACACTGAAACAAACAAAATTATGTCCATATATTTCACATAACAACATAAAGAAATAATATTTTCATTACCCAAAATATATTCAATTCAAAGAAACCAGAAATTACCTAAAATCTAAATACAGTTCCATTAAATTCTATCATCCAAAAACTCCCAAAAAGTTGATTCAAAGAGAACATCGTAATATTTCAGATTTCTAGAAAGGATTATTTTAATAGGGCCAATCTCTAATAAACTTACTTTAATGCTGCCAAGCATGACTGAATAGCTTGTGGCTAAGGGAAAATAAATAAATCATATAAAAATAAACTTTTAATAAAAAAAAAACTATTCTACTAAAACCCAAATACAACTCTCACATCTATTAAAGATTCTGCAAAATAGATAAAAAAGCATATTATTGAATTTTTAAAGAAAACTATATATCGTATATACATTTTATTATAAAGATTCACAAACTATTATAAAACATAAATTTTTTTAATACTGTCAAATACCTTGCCTTTTTGTTTTGGTTTAGTCTAAACTCAACAAATGCTTCTTAAATTCACTACAATACTTAATTAATAACTATAGCTTTTAAATCAGTTTTAAGTAAAATAATTTCATCAGTTAATGATAGCTAATATGTAAATATAATGCTATAATTGCTTTTACAGACAAATAATAATAATAGCAATTACGTAAACCACCCAATCAAGTATAATGTGAATTTTTTCTTCAAAAAGTATGTTGGTATTATATTATTTTGTAGACAATTTCACTACATAAGTTATCTGTAAAGTGACTGTTTTTAGACTGGCTGAAACTGACAATATCTGACTGACAAGGAAGTGGGAAGTAAAAAATGTAAATGACAAAGATGTAACAAATATATAACTAACAAGTCCACTAGTTATGCTACAAACAAAGATGTCACAAGTTGATCCCCCATTAACCCTGAAGCCTCCTTTCAAAAATTGCAATTCCTTTTTAGAAAAAACACTCTCTGCATTTTACAAATTTCTAGTTCATGCTACATGAGTGAGATCTCTATTTATAAATGAAGGTACTCGTGTTAAAATATCTTCATTATTTGTTTGTTTGTTTGTTATGGATTTCACGCAAAGCTACACGAGGACTATATGCACTAACCGTCCCTAATTTAGCAGTTTAAGACAAGAGGGAAGGCAGCTAGTCATCACCACCCACCGCCAACTCTAGGGCTACTCTTTTACTAACGAATAGTGGGATTGACCGTCACATTATAACGCCCCACGGCTGAAAGGGCGAGTATGTTTGGTGTGACGGGGATTCGAAATCTCGACCCTCAGATTGCGAGTCGAGCGCCCTAACCATCTGGCCATGCTGGGCTTTGATTATTTTGTATAACACTTATGACATTAACTTGTAACAGTAAGTGTGTTCAAGTGATAAATCAATCCACTGTAATCTGTATAGATGTTAGTTTTCTTGTGTACTAATTTACATATTTCTAGTCAGTTTGTTACATTGAATTAGTTTTCTTAATTTCTAAATGATGTTTGAGTTCTAATGTATAGAGTAAGTGGATCATTCTTTTAAGACTCATAACTTAGGTAAATTAGTATGTAGAATTATACACGGCCTGTTCTCTACATTAAAATACTTATATTTTATTTGTGAACTTTTGGCCCTTCTAACTGGATGAAGGCTTCTGTGAGAGGGTTGAAAGCTTACATATAAAACTAGTTAAATTGAGAGAACAGTCTGTGTATAATTATATATAGTAAATAAACCATTAAGCTATAAACGTACAAAATTCTCACATATGGGTTGATCAGTAACTTAAATCAACCCTTCTTAACATAGTGAAGGTACATAAGATAGGTTAGCAAAAAATTATGAATAATCCGAGTACTTTTTAAATTAGATTTTCAATTATTTGAATTTTTCAAGCCTAATTAAGTTAGAATGTTTTTTGTTGGGTTTATAACACCCCTAAAAATATACATTATAATAAAGAAGTTTTCCTTTTGTAGAGAATACAACATTTTGACATTATGGTTTAAAAAAGTGCAACTTAAACTATGCAAGTAAGTCAGATTACTTCATTTGACGAACCTCAATAAATATGTCTTTGTTATGTGTCCGATGAACCTTGTTAGGAAGGCAAAAGCTCACTTCAATCCAATTATGAATCCTCAGATGTACTTCTCCGGTGCTTCTAAGGCTTCAATGTAATACGAGTCAAACAAATAATATAAAAGTTACAAATCAGCTACATCACAAACATGACAATCACAAAACAGTAAAAATACTCCATAAGAGAGTGACATCGACATCTATGACACAGGAGCAAGAAACGTGATGCCAAAACTGACATTTTTAGAATTTGATCATCAGAAGTTATTGTTTACTAACTACTTAACATGAAAATCTTAATGACTTTAAACCAGTGGTTCCCAATTTTTTCACCACAAAGGACCCCTCTTATTTTTTTCCCCATGGATCCCACATTTTCGAAAGATACCGTCTACCAAACAAACTGTTTTTATTAACTAATAATTAACTCACTTTAACAGCTTTTCTCACATACTTTGAGAGCCAGAAAAATTGTGACAGTTATAGGACAGTCTCAGCTTCTAAGGTGTTATTATTCAGTGTCCTTCCTTTCCGTGTATTATTTAATTAAAGAAAATTGCTCATGGACCCCCCAGTATTACCTTCACGGACCCCAGGTTGGGAACCACTGTCTACCAGGGAAAAGTATGAACAGTTTCATTCAGCAACTACAAAATGAAAAGATGGAGACAATATCAGTAAGAATTTGAAGAGCAGCTAATTCTACATGAACTTGCACGAGTACCCATAATTTGTCATACAAAACATATATAATTATGAAGTTTACTTACTCTTCTAAGACTTTTTTAAGTGCTTGGGCCAACTGACATCTAGTCAGAATGAGTTCATACGGTGACTGATCATTGTCTGAGGGAAGAGATAATTTATGTTCTTGTTTATTGATAAATATGTACAATAAAGTTAAAGAAAAAACACAAAAATTCAAGTTATTACATCATTTAAATGCACAGTTTATTTTCATCCTTCATTCGTACATAAAAACTTTATTATATAAACATTTTGTTTACATTCTTAAATTTGTCTCTTAAGATAAACCAATGCACTTCGTTAAAGTTTATCACTGAATATCATAATTAAAGTTTTTATTGTATACAATATAAATGCATGCAAGAAAATGAAAAATAATCAAATTATTCCATTTTTTTAATAATATTATCTAATCTTACAGAAGTAGAGATGCCCTGAATGTTTAATGAAAGTGGGAAATGTAGAAATGGAGTTTTTGTTACCATTGTCTTTAAGAATTAATTAAGTGTTGTTTTGAGTGGTTTAAACCTACAATCAGAATTTCAGCTATAACACTAATTCTTTGAGGTGGAAAAAAAGTGACCGTAGATTGTTGCAGTCAACATATTATCATGTTATCTTTAGTGGTGATTGGTTGTGGTTTTGTTCATTTAGAATTGTGTGTTCCATCACACTTGTGAAATTTTTGTGGATGGGTGGATACAAAACACAAATTATTCATATGGAAGAAAAACCTAACACTAAGAGTATATTTTTAATGAAACGAAAGTGTAAAACACATTATTACCTTACTGTGTCTGGATTTAAATGGGTATGAAAAAAAGGAAACTTAATTAGTTTATATTGTTCCAGGCTAATGCCAGTCATGCCATTGTGAACTGCTACCATAAATTTAGCCAAAGATTAGCTATAGCACTGCAGCATGAAGAGAGACGATGCGGTTATGTCACCAGCCAGGCTAAGATGATGGTTTTAACACATGATGAAGTAGCAACTTTACCTGAAGGTGTTTGTTGTTTTTTTAAAATCAAACTTGACTTAAACAATGTGTGCTGAAATTAAATTTATTAAAACAAGACTGTGCCTAGATGGTATATAATGAAAGAAACATGGAAGCTAGAATTGTATGCATCTTGTAAAGTGCAGTTAAACACTTAAGAAAGTTTGTTTAGCTAGATATCTTAGATGTTGCCTTTTAAATGTTGCCTTTTTAAACATAATTACATTCTCTGAAAAAGATAACGGTGTTTCGTACCTAGTCATTCCGGTCATTTTCAAATGTAAGTATCCAATAAAAAAAATATCTGAAATTTTATCGTATTTTGTGGAACTTTCTAGTCTTCAGCAATAAAAATATCTACATCGAGATTTATATTTAAATGCAAGATAATACAAATTTAATGTAAATATGTTGAAAAAGAATATTGTAATGTAATTTGAAGTGTTAGTTATTACTGAACAGTCATTCATCTTCAAACAGCAAATTAAAATTCCCAATTAGTCTCAAAGTTTTCTTTTTTACTTTACTTATATTTCACCAAAATCATAAAAGTATCAAGGCATTTTATGTTTTTATTTGGACTTTGATACAAATAACATAGCAACAACAGCTTCATTGTTATATTGTTAAAATCACATTATTTAAATAATCCTCAACTTCATTCATTTTTTTTTTCTCTTCACTAATTCTGTTTCCCTAAAAACTATAGTACCTACTCTTAGGGCAAAAACTATGTTAAACATCAGAACAGACGACGGCTCTCGGTTGAATGTTTGAGAAAGAGGAGTAGGGTGGCCAACGAAGCGAACATCATTTACTTTCAGCTCAAACTTTCGGTCACACAGCTCAAGCTTCACAGCAAACAAGTTGGAGAGGGCTTTATCGGGAAATCTTAAAGCACTAGATATTGGAAACACTTAACATTTAAAACTTAAGTCTACTGCACTGAGGTCTATAATATAACTACATTATATTTCATCATAATTATTGAAGTGACTTATAATATTAGCTATCATATATTAACATAATTTAATTTTACAGATAAATTAGAAGTTATAAAACTTATCTATAAAATTAATGAAACCTGGTTATGCCGTAAAGCATCTTTAGGCTATATCTTCATTTAATGATAAAAATCATAGTTTTTGGCTTTTCATAGCATATAGACGCATGATACATTAAGAACGACTGAAATAATAATTTGAGTAATAATTAATATGTATTTGTTACTTTATAGATAAACCAGTATAAGCGTAAAAACGTTAATAAAGTAACAACAAATATCTATTAAGTCTGGTTTATGAGCTCGTTGCTGTCCTAATTTAGGATCTTCTTTTTAATATATTCTTGAAAACGTTAAAAAAGAGAGAGAGAAAGGGGGCCCGTGCTGGCTATCGACGTTCCTGATATAACCTCTCATGCTTAAAGCAAGCCCACATTCAACAAGTTTAAGTGTGCAAGGATAAACAGCCATATTAATCATAGAACTACATTTGTTAATGTTAGATTTTAAGATCAATGTTATATTCTATAAAAAGAAAACTCAAAAATGTTTTATGATTAATAAAATATACATTTTGGGGTAGCACTGTACGTATTTTTCATGTTACATGTAAGTTTAGTCTTAATTTTCTTTTTTCAAACAAATATATCGTATACCAGTTTAAGACTGTTGGGAGAGTGCTATTATTCTTTGCTAAAGACACACAGAAAAAACACACCCATTTTGATTTGAAGTGATAGGTTACTGGATTTCAGTAAATTATATATTTTTTCAACAATTTAAATGTTCAATTAAAATTATGATTAGCTATGCATAGCATTTTCAAACCTAAAGAAACTTTAATTTTATAACTATAGGCACTTCATTACTCAACAGTTTTAGTAACAATAAGAGAAAAAGACAGGCCTAATGACTGCAATAAATTTATAGATCCAGATTTATTTTGCTGATCATGTTAACAATAAAAACCTAACCACACAAACACCTGAAATATTTTGTGTCATTTTAATAATATTACCAGTTTACATTCAGTCAATATAAGTTAGCTAAAGATGTTTTAATGCAGAATTTTTCAGTATAAATAAAATGTGAAACACTCCTCGTATTAATAATGTATACACTACTTGAACCCACAGTGAAATCGAGCCAGGATGTGCATATACACATTAATGAATATACAAGAACCACTAATAATAAAAAATGTATTAGAAAATAAATAAACCATGTCATAAAATAAAACAGGGTTAGATGTACTTACTTTAAAACATTCTTTTCACTCAGTTCAGAAACTGTAGCTCCTCTAGAATTCATGGAAAATATAGAGATAAATCCCAAGTTTATTAATTAATTATTAATTAATAATTAATTAATTAATTATTAATTAATTAATTATTAAGTAATTATTACGTAAGTTCTACTTTATTCAGATATTTAAAATTCAATTTATTTTCATGAAAAACATTTCAAAGATAAATAGTTTAAACTTAGTTACATAAATTTACATAACCAACTGTAAGAGAAAAAAAATCCATTTCAATATAATGTTCACTAACAGACAAGATTCAAAACTAATGATTTTCATATACCCAGTATTCCACATCCACTTAATGATATACATATCACAAAACATATCAAGGCTATGTGCACATAGATCTGCCTCATCACGTAACATGTAGCAAGCACTTTGAAATAAATAATATTGTATCATGTAGAATTATCATTAAATATTTAAACATCATAATGCAGTTTACAGGATTTTTACCTCTAATAACAATTACGCTTCATTAATCACCAATAAAGTAACCTAAAATAATTTAGATATTTGAATAATGTTAGAGCTCATGCCTAAATCATTATTCCACATTATATATCGGACCAAGTATTTAATGATTACATATATATGTTACAGATTTTTCTCATAACTTCACCAAAAGTAAAGATTGAAAGGAGATCCCACGACATAGAGGCCTAATGTTTTCTTTGATTGGCCATACCCACTGCTGTGGACTGCAGTTTCACCTATTGAAGGCTCAGCACAGCTTGGGTTGGCAAATAAAAGAAATACAGTTAGGCCTCTCATAACAGTGATTTTTTTACAACACCGGTTCTCCTTTCAATTTTAACCTTTGGTGAAAAAGGAAAAAAATCTGTAACATATATATGTAATCATTAATTAAACCTAATGTATTACAGATTTATAAGTACACGTTACGTCACCAAAACAGGTCTACTGAAATATGATTATTTTGGATACCTTTAAACTTGTTATGAGTAATAGCATAATGATAATATAAATATAGCATGTACTTCACTGCAAGTAAAATAACAATAATTATAAAATTAATGACTGGATGTGTATTTCTTCAGCTAACCAAGTAGTATATGGGCTTTACCAAAATAAAATACTAATAAAAAAATTACATTAAAAATCATAAAACAACTAAATCAACTGAAGAAAAAAGAAATGACCTCAACTATACCGTGAGAGAAGTTTTTAACACAAACAAACAAAGTATTTCAATATATTTTATGTTCTGATCACACTTCAATTACTCTCGTTCTGATTACACAACATGTTATCACCAAGTACTTTACTATATTAACAGTATTAATAAATGTATTTTAGTACAAAGGAGTGAATGCCTACCTTGTACTCATCAAATAATCTTCGCTTACAATCAAAGCATATGGATTATTTCGTTTTTCTAAAAACAAGGAAAAAAGGAAGTTGGATATAAATAAATAAAGACTTTTGCAATATATCTATACATATATTTTATAACTTTAACTATAATGATGGCCTGATTGAACCTTAATTTCACTCTAAGTAGATAGCTTGCTCTGATTGGAAGTTAATATTATGATAATACAAGGCCAAAATTGTCTTTTATTAAGCTACACAGTAAGCTTGTGAGTTGATTTATATATAACCAGGCAGTAAGAAACCTACACCTAATTACTTTTTTTTTAGTTCCTGCAAACAGACCTTAATCATTAAAATAATACAAAAAGTAGTATAGAATGTTATTTGTTACGTGAAAGTCACCTCTTGTCCATGAAAAAAGAAAAACAAGTATCATAACATTTACGGACAACAAGGGACACGTTGGTCCATTAAGGCTGTCCCATCCACTTAAAAACATATTTTTCCCTGACTTCTATATCTCAGTCCATACTGGATCAAAATAGGCCTGATTTAAATGCTACATGTGATGTCTGTATTTAAAAATATCGTTTTAAGTTTAATAATAAGCATGGTCACTGAAAACTATTCAACCAGCTGAGATTAGAAAAAATAAATTTCTGTGAGTAGGACAAAGTGGGTGCTCTACCCCTGCGTGTGTTGAAGACAAGGGTCCCCGAGGTTCTAACATCAGTAATTTACATACATAACAGATGAGCCTTAATGTTTATATATAGTGGGCAGGTACCAGAGGATTGGAAGTTAGCTAATGTAACTCCTCTTTTCAAGGGAAGTGATAAAAATTGTCCCAGTAATTATAGACCCATTCATCTTACATCAATTGTGGGAAAAGTTTTGGAAAGTCTTTTAAAAGATGCTTTGCAAACTTTAAAATTTTATTGGATAGTCAACATGGTTTCACTAAGGGAAAATCGTGCCCTACAAATCTTTTAAGATGCTTTGAAAAGGTTACTACTTATGTAGATGAGGATAAGGGTGAAGAGATTTGGTGTATCTGGATTTTCCGAAAGCATTTGACAAGGTGCCACATAAAAGGCTTGTAAACAAATTAGATCTATAGATGTGAGGGATAAAATAGCAAATTGGATAGAAGAGTGGCTGGATGGAAGAAAGCAGAGAGTTGTTACAAATGGAGTTCAGTCAAACTGGATTAATGTCACAAGTGGGGTACCTCAGGGCACAGTCTTAGAACCTTTGCTCTTTTTGATTTAAATCAATGACATATATGAAGAGATAGTCAATAAATTATTTAAATTTGTAGATGATATTAATGTCTTGGATGTTGCTAGCTGTGAAGAAATGGATATCACTTGTCTACAACATAACCATGTGGGTGCCTGAAAGCTATTCTCATTACGACACACACGGATACCACAATGGATATCACTTGTCTACAGTTTTTGCGTGAGTTCATTGTTAGTGAGTCTGTTGCTGCCATTTAGTAGAAGCAGAAAAAAAAAAAAGAATCGACAGTACGTGGAAAGACTATGTACGTATAAACCAGAAATCTAAATGTTATCAAGATAGTGTGAACAGAAAATAACCAGCATAGGTTTGGTTTGGTTTCATGCGTGTAATTTTTCTCAGGAAAATATTAAAGTAGGGAGTTTATTTGATTTTTAAATAATAAAAATAAAAAAACTTTGTTTTTAGATACTCAAAACGAGCAAGTTTATGACATTTTTTTTTATATAAAAATTAATGGAAAATTATTAAACATATTAACTGGTAAAATAATAAAATGCCCTCTATGATCACTTTTGTTGTACATAGTTCTGACAATAAAGTAAAAACAGACCATGTGAAAGTTGATGTAATGATAGAACCAAAATATATATAATCTTATATCCATATTTTATGTTTACTTGGAGCTTCTTGACATAATTAATGGTTTAGGGAAAGAAATAGGGATTTTTTTTTAATTTCGAACAATATAATTATGTGTCAAAATGTTTACAAAAAAAAAAAGACTAATCATACTCCAGATAAAAACTGTTTCAGCTGAAGATGACTCCTATCCTGCCAAAATTTATATTTGTGTCCCCTAGTCCTAGTATTCTTACTGTTAAATATGAAAAAAACATGATGCATCAACACTATCAATTACCTTTACAATCTTAAACATCTCAATCAGACCCCCCCTAACTCTTCTCTTCAATTTGAGAGATTTCAGTCCTCTTTTTTGTACGACAACCCTTCCATGCTAGTAACCCTTCTCTGAACCCTTTCCAACAATTCAATGTCTTTCCGAAGGTAGAGACCCCAAGACTGACCACAATATTTCCAATGTAGCCTAACAAGAGACCTATACAATAAAATTATAACCTCTTTAGACTCATATTCAATATTTCTGTAGATACAACTTAAACTCCTATTTGCCCTACCACTAGCAACAGCACACTGTTTGGATGGCTTTAGAGACTGATCAATTATTACACCAAGATCATTACTTTCATGACACTGTTAAGGTTATTCTTATCTAAACTATACTTATAATTCAAATTATGATAGCCCACATGCATTATCTTGCATTTATTATAATTAAAACCCATCTGCCATTTATTTGCCAAACTCACTAAATGATCTAAATCCTTTTGTAAATCAGCAGCATCCGTGGTATCCGTGT